TTGTCATATGTGCATACTGTGCTTAAAATGCTTGTGAAATAAGGCTATATTGAGGCAATAAGCACAGTATGCTTATATGCCAATAATGGACTGATCATTTGCAATCCTAAACATCAATGGAATGATTCAAGTAAACAATACCAAGTGACGTAAAAACCTTTGCCTATAGATATTTTTAAAGTGACTATATGATTAGAATGAATAAACTATGTAATTAGAATAACAAAATTTCATGATGTTAGGTGTAACAGTTTTCTTTTGTTTTTAAATAAAAGCACATTGAATACGGAAGATTCTAAAACTAGCAAAATGAAATTATCTACTGATTTATATTTTAGTATTATATTTGTTATTAATAAAAATTGATTTCATTTAAATACGTTGTATTTTCAGTTCCAAATTACAGAAATAGAAACTTATTATTAATGCTAAAAACAAAATAATCAAGTTTATTACATTCCTTGTTTACATTTAAGTACATATATACTTGTTTCCCCTATTCATTTAAACTTATTTATTTGTTTATACATAAGACAAGCTATTTAGATACAGCTTTTTTACTTCAAATTTGCCGGAAGCATATTCTATTTAAACCGTGATTTTTCAATGAACCTTGTATTATAAGAGAATAGACTTTGGTAATTGTAAGCTTGCGTGTGTATGATTATAAAACGACATAGTATACAACACTGTAGATGTTCGACCGGTCTGGTCAGCCTAGCGTCCTTATTGGTCCTTTGCTCACTTAGCCCGTCTAATTGAGTCCAGAACACCAACAATAACTTCCGCTATGCGAATCACTTATTTCATACATACTTGGTTTATATACCAGGCAAACAGGCCGCATCTCACCATAAAATAGGAAATAACATTTATACAAAGTAAAGCCCAAAGTGGCTGTGAACATTGGAGACGGTAATCAAATAACTGAATATAACTTAAGAACATTAAATCGTACAATAATAATCTATAAGTCAAAATGAAGCTTATAATAAGAGGAATATAGGTTTACACAGTTTAGTTACTGCATAGTTACACAATAACAATATATATATATATATATATATATATATATATATATATATATATATATATATATAATATTAGTCCATTAATGATTCTCGGAAGTTACTCGCAATTTAATCTTGACTAGGATATAACAACACCCGTCAACTAAGATCATTGGTTTTAAACCATTTTTTATACTGCCCAGTTGTCATGAATATTTACACATAACACCTATCTCACATTCGACATGGTTGATATTAACCGATAGCTGTAGCTCATAACGTTTTCTTAACCTGGAAATTATTTTTTCCAGATGATAGTCAACTGTTAACAGATGATTAGTAGTGTGTTAGCTCTTTGGAGATTGTTTGTACTAGAAAGAAACATATGTTACATTCAATTTAGTTTCCAATAGATTGAGCAACAACAGTCAACCCGAGAATTAAGTAAATTTAAAGTAATATTTTATTTATAAAAAGTGTTAGATGAAGAATTAATAGTGGCTAGCAGTGGAATCTGGGATGCGCGTCTCGTCCTATTTGGAACTCGTCAGCTAGATGTACCTGGATCTCAGAGTTGATAGTCACTCCAGTACTAGAGCGCGATACCGTTCGCTTGAAACATCATCTCGTCTTCCACTTAGCCACTGAGTTCTGATAGCCACTTGCTTGTGCAATGAGGTGAAGTTTAAATTCACTTGGTATTTTTTTACTTGTATATTCCCATTGTTATTTAGGACTGTAGTTGATCAGTCTCTTATAGTCATATGTGCATTCGGTGCTGATTACCTCGGTATAGGCCTAAGTCACAAGCTTTTTAGACAAAGATGGATGGTGGCTAGCAGTGGGGTCGAGGACTCGAGTTTCATCCTAGTCGAGACTCGTCAGCTAGATGTACCTGCAATGGGAAGATACAAGTAAAACAACACCAAGTGAAGTGTTACAAGACGTTTTAATAAATTTTCATGATCATTTCAAATGGAACTAGCGTTTGTGTTTCCTTTCTTAATAAATATTTAGAGCATTTAATTTCAGGTCATTTTCTTTTGTTGTTTAATATTTAAACAAGCTATTCTGAGATAATTTATTTCTTCAGCATATATATAAATAAACCAGATTTTTCAATACTACTAATAATTTGTTTTATAAGTTTATATTAAACAACTTACATCATTTATTATATCTACTATAATTTATTCATTTCAAATCATTACTATTAGTGATTCATTGATAGAAATTGATCTCTTTGGTATTTAATCCCTTGTTGTATTGACGATGAATTAAAAGATTATCAGTTTTAGTTTATTAATTAAATGTTGAAAAAAGTGTCCTTGTTAAACGTATATGTATATACAACATATACGTTACTGAAGTTGGTTTTGGTTTAAAGGTAAAACTATACAGAAACAGTTTAACTAGCATCTATGTCGACTGAACTAAATTGTATCGTATTAGAATTAGTTTAGCTTAATTAACGATAAACATTCTAATGAAATCTTTATACTTTATCTTTATCGGTTAGATAAGAAAAAAAATTCTCAACATTCTAATAATTAGTTGATTAACTTTGCTTAAATAGAAGAAAGAAAGAATTACTGAAAGATTTGATGATAAATTTTCATAACGAATTTAACATTCTTCTAAAGTAACAATTTTAGACGACTATACATTAAGTCAGGGTATTGATGATATGATGGTTGTTACTACATTGGAAGATGCTAAACCTAACAATTAATGAAATTGCGAAGACATCTTACTGACTTAGTTTAAACTTCAATACTTTTGGTAGAGTTTTTTTCTCTGAGCTGGATGGTTTGATCGTGGAGCTTTCATCATTCTTCTGAACGATATCATCATTTCTCCATATGGAGAAATTTGAACACTTCATTTCTATCTGAAGTTTGTGCTGATGATGTCGTTCTGAAGAATGATGAAAGCTCCACGACCAAACCATCCAGGTCAGAGAACAAAACTCCACCAAAATCATACACCTGAGCTACAAATCTTCTCCACCATCTCAAAACTTCAATACAAAAGCTGTCTTGAAGAGTTATTCAAATACGATGTCAATTAAATTGGTTAATTATTTTGTGAATAGTGATAAAACGGTTTGATCGTAATAATATGAAGTAACTGAATGTATAACAGATAATCCCTATTTGAATTGATGTTACTATGACCATGTATTGAACCAATCTATTAACTCAAGGTAGGTTTGAATTGTACTTTGAAATAACTATTAATCAACACATAAGTAATAATCAACTACTATTCCATTCACTCAATGAGTTCTATAGATGACGATTGATAAAACTACAAATTTCAAAGTCCTTATAAGCATCTCTTAAACATTGGACTATTGTTCAGACATGTAGTTAAAATTACAATAAGATTTTGTTATAAGTTGCAAAAACATATTTCTGAACACTGTCGTCAGATAGAGATCAACTTTAACTAAATCAAGCAGAATAATTCACTGGATAGCTGAAATATTATGTTTCATGGTGTTGTTGTATTATGTGGAAAGTCTAAGGATAAGAAGATTAAAATCTCAATATTTTAATATGAAGAAATTGTAACATTATTCTAGCAAAACCATGACTGAAATCCAAACTATATTACAACAATGGTTAACTTCTTTGTTATTTTATGTAATTTCCCTAATGTCATCAGAGACATTTTATGAGCAAAATTCTTAAGAAACTTCAGATTTTTATCCTACCATATATGACTGTAAAAAAGAGGAAGTTATTTCAAGATTAAACGACGAGAACAGTACACTGTTTGGAAGATACTGTTCAACGTCTCTACCATCTCATGAAGGTGTACCACAAGGAGCTGTTCTTTCACCTCTTCTTTTGTTGTGTGAACTACTTATATTGATATAAGTAGTATATAACGTGCGTTAATGGAACGTAATGTCTGGCAGCGGAAGATGGTGAAGATCAAGAAAGGTAGAGCGAGAACACATTGGAATTTGTAAGAAAATGCATGGACAATGGAATGGGAGACAATGGATTGGTGTTTACAACAGAAACAGTCCAGTTTGGTTTGATGCATGAATATTTTGCAAATTGACGATTGATTATATGGTATTCAGACTTTGTTGAGATAGACTTTAATTGTTGTGCTAGTTATACCCGTTCGTCCCCACCCGTGTTCTCGTTCACTGGACTTTTCTCTTTTTCTGCATGGTCATCTAATTTCTACCTCTTTACATCCCATAGAAATGAATGAGTCCTTGTCTTGTATTGAATGTCGGTCTGTCGTTAATGGTCTCATACTTAATCCGTCTAAATGTCAGGCTGTTAACTTTAGCATGAGACATGAACAGCATCTAAACATCATTTCAAGATCCCATAATGCTTGTGCCATTGGAGACTCTTTGATAAATACAGTGTCGAAGGTCAATTACCTTGGTGTTACCTTTTCCTCTGATCTCTCTTGGTATTTTCACACTTTATTGTTATCGAAGGTTTTCCATCTGAATTACTACATACAGAGATCGCATGCTTTTGGGATTACTCGGCATTTACTCTTACAATTTGTCAATTCTTGCATACTACCTATTATTCTTCACTGTTCTTGATTATTCTTTCCTGAGCTTCCGAGAAAAAACTTTGCTGTATTATGGAGAGTAATAAAGGTTGTTAACAAGATGTGTGGTGAATCTTCTGAGGTCATTATTAATATGGTTGTGTATAGATATTTAAAGTCTTGCAAACTCCTGGAAGATGTTATTTTATCAGATACTAACCACTCCGTTCATTCATATATTTCGCCTTGTATATCTTCTGATAGAACAAGACGTTATTTTTTCTTTGTTCTTGTAAAAGATATTTGTTGAAATATCTCGTACTGAGGCTTCTATAATACACCATAATATAATATTGAATCAATTAAGTCATTAGTAAGGATAATAATAATTGATCAAGTATAATGAAACGTACATTGACAGAAATGTCATCAAACAAATTTATTCAGTTAATAATACTTTATTCTCAAAGTTAAAAGAACAAATCTCTTCCAAATTGATCATTTGATTTTGTTTAATTGATATGTTACATAATTATTATTACACTTATTATGATCATTATGATTGAAGATCATTATTATCATTATTATTATTATTGTTTTGTATTAGTTCATCTAAAATATCTTCCAAATATACGGATACATTATCAGTTAAATCATTTAAAAATACTTCAGCTAATTCTTTTGCAGAGATTTCACTTAAAATTGAATTTTGTCGATTTACTTGTTCTGTATAGTTTGATTCAGATATCTAAATACAAAATAAATGATGTAAGATATTTATAGTTGGTTGATTAATTCAATAGAATACATAGAAAAAAGTATCCAGAATCCCTTTTAACCAGTTTAGTTCTTCTCTTTATTTAAATCTTAGAAGCTAACTCACTAAGCTTTACTGTTGTAGGGTTAAGAAAATGCCAAATTTATCACAGCTTTAAGAGCTTTTTAAGCAAAGTTCATTCTAAAGGTTCCTTATACATTTATAGAAATATTTTTCGTCTTTTGTGCATGAACTAAACGTGAAAGTAAAGCTTCTATCCATTTTTTTTTACATTCTAGTTTATTTAAGGTTTAAATGTTATTCATAAACCTACATTGAGTTTCTAAATGACTTTGAAATTGTGACCCGTTTTACATAATCAGAAAGTAATAACCACAAACTAATAAATGAAGTTCAAAATCACAGAATTTTTAGAGGATATCTTTGCATCGTTCATCCTGATATTCAAACTCTAAAACCTAATCATAAACTCTACACCATAGAAATAAAAGTTTACAATCCTGAAGTTTGAATCATAGTCTTAAACTTACCTTTATTTACCCAGTAGCGTGTATCTTAATAAAAATAACCATAATAATGTTGAAACCCAATATCTCAATTCACTTTGGTTTGACAAACGTCAAGCTGGATTGATATGCCATCTATGGCCTTCAAATGTTTTTTAGGTTTCTGATTATATATATATATCTTCATCGTTCTCATATTAAGGGAAATATAGCACATAAGAATATCACTTATCGTATACAAATTCGGTATATATGCACAATAAAGAACTAGAAAGCAGAGTATTCTTTTTTTTTTCTATTTTAAGATTGAATGTATTAAATGTATTAACCCAATAATATATAATTTTCTTGCGTTGATCTACATATTTCCGAAACGTGTTCATGCCATCAATTTCAAACTGTTCGGAGTCTAACCGATTATTGGAAAAAGATATCCAGGTCATTTCCAAATCATTTTAATTGTCTATGCACAACAACTTGTAACAACCTTTACATTTTTAATTAAAAAATAAGACTCAGAAATCGTCATTTTCACATTCATTAATTGACTATATACATTATCATAACATAAGTTCTTAAGGGAAATATTGAAATTTGTTTACTCCATAGATAACTAGTACTATTTTGGTAGACATCAATAGGAACTAGAACCGAGTACTGTTGGCTTCAAACGCCATTGGATTCCACACAGAATTCACATACACTAATATGAGACTGATCAATCGCAATCCTAAACATCACTGGGAAGATTCAAATAATCAATGTAAAAAATAACTCAGTTAACTGATATCACAAGTTCCATATCACTTAGGCCAAACAGAGTTAATCAGTGCGGAGGCTTATATAAACAGAAATCTGACCAAATATTCTAACATTTTTAACTTATTTCATTTATGTAAATCAATAGTTTCACATCGAACCATAAACTCGAGTATTCAAATCATAACTGATCAAAAGGTTACTCATGTCTTATCGATCTGTATGTTTACTGAAGCGGTTCAACTTGAATAATTTATTTGGTTTTATGACCTTTATCTATGAAATTATATTTTTCACTTCTGTATGAGCAAATATTAAATTAGATGCATCTCACTGGTAATATCATTATCCACAAATAACTTATTATTGACAATCGACCTAGATAAAATAATTCACTTACATTATTTTTCATTTCCTCTCCAATTAAAGTAACTTGTTGATTTTGTTCTAGAATTTCCAAAAACTTTGAACTTTTCTCCTCACTTCCTTCAATAACCTATTGTTGGTGTATTATCGGTTGTTTTATTTTAAATTGATGACAAAAATTCATTAATAATATAGGGAACATTTAGCGCTAGCAATTAATGTAAATCAATAAACAATTTGTACGATTACGTAATGTGAATTGTTTTATTTGGTAAGTAGATCATATCTGAGAAATGTTAGATATACATATATTGTAATGGATATTGCATATGATTTGAACGTTAATTTTCAAATTAACATTTTGTATCATTTAGAAACAGATCCTTTGAAAACTTTTATCTAAAATATACATAAGCGTTTAAGTGTTTTATGCTTCTGAATTATCAGAGGTATGACTTCTATAGATCAAAGGGAACGGAATTTTTTAAAGTGAATATCCTTTAGTGGATTCCGAAAGAAGCTTTGAGTTAACATTTATTATTCTATTTGTATTTTGTAATGTTTCTTCTGATATTCACTTAGGAAAAAATTAATTCAAGTTTATTTGTTGGAAACACAAGTTACTTGGAATCTGATTACACTGTTAAGGTGTTTTCATAAGTTAATATAAAATTTACTAATAGAATGCTTTCATTTGAATAGTTAGTCACGTTTAATTAATCTTAATATATAACAGCTGGATTATTATGTATTATCACATTTGATATATCGCCTAGTAGATTATTCCTAAATGGTTGAAAAATGGGAGTTGAAATTCTTTTCTCTTTATTATATTTATAAAAATGTGCAGAGTATCTTCTTCCTACTGTTCCAGAAATGAACGGTGAGTAATAGGTAACCTTTTTTTATATTTACATGTAAAGAAAGATCACAATCACTTATACTTTAAGTCCAAACTACTGAATTTTGTTGTTAGCAAAAATATAGCAACTATAAAACATTCTTACCCCATGAACCATTTCTTGTGATATATTACGTAGTATTGGTCGAACTTCATCTAAGCTAATAGATTCATCTCGAACATTTTCAGCAAGGGTTTGAATTCTTCTTATCGGTTCAAAATTAACGCTACTTTCTGTTGGATCTGTAATTTCTGATTTAGTTGATGAAATTACTTTTTCTTGAGCTAATTAAACAAGAAAAGTTATTCAAAATAAGATAACTTCATTCTGTATTATCATCAAACAAACAAAAATAGATTTTTTGCGTAAAGCTACTCTCAAAGAGGCAGAATTTGCTACAAATTCATATTCTTTGATGACAATAATAATAATAACAATCGTTTGATCAGTGATGGTGATGACATTGAATAATAGATGTGATTTTAATGTAAATAAACTGAATTTGAATATGTTAATGGTTGAATCCTTTATCAGTAGTCTTGGTATATCCGATTAAAACCAGAACATTATGTGTTTTGTGACATGCAAGATCGTCATTCAACATGCAATCTAGTCTTAATAAAACTGGTTTAGGCATAAATGTACACAAGCTAATCATCCTGCACAACAACACAGCAACATAAAATTATCAATAATGTGATTATAAGAGTTAAATTAGACCCATTATTAGAGACTACAAGCTTGCCACGGGGATCATACGCCAAAAACAAAAATATTAAATAGAACATAGACTGCAAATTTAGAGTAACTCAATGAATGAATGCATTTGCAACGCCCAAGGGTTTAATGAATAATGTCACGAGTGAATTAATTGAAACCTGAAGATAAAATTAGTCTTAATCTCTCCAGTTTTTAATGCTTTTTGATAATTGCTATCCTTATGGAGAATAATATGTGATAAACACAAACTGACGACTATGTGCGTAAATCGTCTAGGAAAATTTGAAATCAAGTAAAGAGAAGATCTTCTACCGTTGATTTCTATGAGTATTAATTCGGCTAGTTCCTTGTGAAACTCAATAGTATATAGAAATCAGCCTCCGATAATTTGTTCAGGCTGACGTTAACCTCAACTAGTTATTATGAAAATATCAGTTTGGTGCAACTCGATAAAAAACATAAATACGGTAAACGTGAGGGCTTAGAACAAAAATTTGACAAAAATCACACTCTAATATCTAGGGCTGATATACTAAATGAATTGAAAAATAACTGGAAGTTCGGTACACTACATATTAAATGAATATTAAAAACACCGCGAACAATATATGTTTCTTTGCCAAGAATATTCAATATTTATCCTGTACTACTATTATTATTATGAGTAGTTTATTTAGTCAAATAGTATTTTATCGTTTGTTATTTTTAGGAATGCTTCTATACAATATTATATTTTTGGTATAATACAGAATTCTCAGAACAAAGTATTTCAACAAGTTTCCTTTTCCTATCTCTTTCTCGATCTCGAAGACAAATATTGAGCGATCTCCAGTTAGATGTTAACAATTCAGGAATCGACATCTGGATAATGTTCATTCTTTTCAGTGCATATTGCCACCCACCACAATGTCTTTGATAGTACATTTTTATTATATGAACAGCAAAAGGTCGTAAACTTTCATGAACGCGTCTGAATAGGTTATACGATCAATGAATATAATGATGTGCTAAAACAAACAAAATCAGATAACTTGTTGAAATATCTTGATGGCATGAACAGGTAACCCAGATATTCAAGCTGGCCAATGGTATTTCATTGCATAAACTTTTTAACCTTGGATAATATATTCTAGAATTGTCCCTCAATCAAATTTACTTCTTCCTCCAGTAACGTGTATTTTTGTTTCAGAGCATACATATGTACTTTATTTAACACTGGTATGTTGTAACTTGTAAGATTTTAGTTTCAAATTAGTCATTTCATGGAAAATACATTATAAAATCAACTATATTCTATTTGCTTGACTGTTCAGCAAAGTTCATTTTAAATAATGAGTCTAATTTTTAATAAGTAGTATGTTAAAATTAATTAGATGTTATTAGATTGTTAGACTTTTCAGATTAACAAAAAAAATTGACCTCAAAGCAAAGATAATTAGATTGACCATAATTTATAAAATTAATGACTTAGAATTTCAATGACTTTGAAGATTGTACTAAATAAAAACAAACACATTATTGGGTTGTAGAAAATAATCAACTGTGAGGATTGGGAAATTATTTTCAGTTTGTTAATGAATTTGTAGTGGTAGGTTCTATATCGAGTTCGCATAGCTTATTCTAGCTTCTGGACAAACTAGCTTATCCATTCTCCTCAATCTACATTGTCACCTTAGTAAGTATTCGCTTATCCGCCTTGACTGCTTTTATATGAGCATATGTGTGTGCATTTCTTACCTTACTCATCACATGCCTGTAAATTATTTTTATCTGGCTATAAATATCGATTACCGCTCGGTTAAATCGAATTGTTTAACATGGCTTCTCCACTGCGCGTCGTTTCATTTCTCTTTGCTCTCTTTTTCCCTTCCTTCGCTACGTCTCTCTGATGGTCCGTTCCGATCAACGATTATACAAAATATACGTATTTGAGATCTATTCTTGTATCTGACTTATTTAATCCCGTTATTCACCAACACGATTTAAGTCGATGATTATGTACGAGAATTGGCTATATGTATATCTCAATAACAATCAGTCATGTGATCTAACTGGCGTCAGATCTCGAGCTATTAAAAATTAATAACAAATGTGCTAATGGTTTACTCTTTTGATAAAGTTGCGATCTATCGACATTTCCCCTTTGTAATAATATTAGTTGTTAGTAAAACTTAACAGTTCGGGCTGTTCATAGGAAAGTACTTGTTATTCCTATGAAGATTTACATTTAGTCATAACATATTCAGTCATTGTACACTGATTAATAATATCAATGTGTTTGGTAATGAATTTATCATGAGTCGGTAAGATGTAATCTAATATATACTGTGTCAATTTCATTATTTAGTTTTCCGTGAAGCATCAATGTCAGACATATATTATTATTTTATTAGTCTGTGTTGTATGTAGTCACCACAAATCTTTTCGAATATCTTGGCAACATACTGTTCCAACTAAAAATCACTCATTCATTTTTTCGAACTTTAATCGTAATGACCCGTCTCTTCCTAAAAACGTTTATTCTTCCATCTTATAGAATATTAAATCAAGCTTATCTAATACATTTTCGAAGCAAAACGTTAAGGAAATAGTGCAATAAAGTAATACTTATAAGTTAGTCTATAATTACACTGCATAGCTGTTATGCTGAAATATAAATAGTATGATGTTGGACTCGTGTTTCTTCTTATTTAGGACTCTTTGGTTAAAATAAAAATGCGAACAACTGAAAGAACCCATAAGAATGGATTAACTCTCTTTGTTCTAATAAATAAATATATTTGTAGTATGTGAACCATAAAATGTACATATTTTTAGAAAAAACTAACACTAATAATGGTCATCTGCTCACCAATTATGAATTTCGAAAAGTAATTTCATAAGTTCTTTCAAAATGTCGTTACCAGTGGAGATCAGCCATGTCAAATGTAAGACCATTACTCACCAATGTTATTAAAAGATGGTAGCTCAGTAACCTGAATTCATTGATGTATGACACGTAAACCATTGGATACCGGCTCAGTGTTCTGAGGGACTGTCCTTACAGTAAGACCCGAAGGTCCTAGTTTCTGTAGCTCGTAGGTTCAGGGATTCTCACTGACGTGGAATTTCACACCAGAGTAAAATATCTCTGTGATGTTCCCTGGTTTTCAGTGGTACCCCGATTGAGATCAGTTTGGTTTTCAACTATTGTCTGAATTAGATTAATTCATGATATAAACTAAACGACATCCACTAAAATCCCTACACTAATGTTGTATCAATTTTTCATAACAAAAATTATTCAACTGCATAATTTATGAATCAATGAAGAGATTTATAAAATAAATATATCAGTGTGGGATTGTGCAGATTGTTAGATTTTTGATTGAGATCATGGATGGATCAATGTTAGATCACCGTTGAAAACCTGGATGAGCTGGACGGCCATTTCGTTCCAGTATAGAACTCCTCAGCAGTGCGCATCCATGATCTCACACGCCTAATTCAAACTCAAGACCATGGGTCTCGCACGCGAACACTTAATGTTTAAAAACACGGTTGTCTAGTTTTTTCTGGTTTTCAATAGTGGTCTAACATTGATCCATTCATGATCTCAATCAAAAATCAATATATGATTGATTGTTTAAAGAAATACCAATATCTATAAACACCAATCGTAATCGTTTATAGGATAATTTTAATTGGAATGATCGATGATTCGAATTACTTTCAATGATATAATATTAGTGATAGTGATTACATTAGTTATTGATAAATAGATCTGAAAATTTCATCAATAATAAAAATTTTCACTTCTGTATTTAAAATGATTCTTTTTGTAGAATAAACATTATCTTATTATTAAATCCGTATATTTATAATTTGCTTTTTAAAAAAATTTCGCATAAAAGCATCCAAAAGAACATTTAGATCCTAACTGAAACTAAATAGTTATGTCGTCCTAGTTTGAAGCATTTCATTCATATAATACTGATGAGCTAACAAATAACCAAACCAAAGATTCTCAAGTTTTGAATATGACTAAGCTAATGGTTTGAAGTTTATTCATTTGAATTGTTAAGCTTCAGTCATTTTATGATATTTAGTTTAGGTATTAGCCAATGACATTAGTGAATAAATTCCTGGTTGATCATCAAAGTGAACAAAATGGTTCTTGATTCACTTACATGAATAACAATTTGGAAGTAATTGTGACGACTGTTATTTACAATTACGTCATACATGCTCCTATGTAAGCATATTTAATGATGAAAACATTGTTTAACAGAAAGATCATAACTGATTTTATGTGATTACAGTTTTTACCAAGCTCACATTTGACATCCTATTACACTCACAACCATAATTCATTGAAATAATCATCAATTAATACATGAGCTAGATATTTCACAATAACTGATTCTTCAAGAGTCATCAGCGTTTTGTCAATATTTGAGATTATTTTACTAATAACCACATAAAATAAGTTTTTGTTAAATTACAGATTTCACGTTGACAAATAAGATTCGTCAACTTAAAAACGTTCAGTTCCCCTGCAAACATGCAATAAATTACTTGATAATGTAAGATTATAACACAATAAACCAACTATTAAAACATTCCAAAGTTCATACCACTTTGTGGTTTATAGGTGTACCCTATTTTTCCAGAGCTTCTCCTTACTGATTTCGGTCTCCACCAAGTATGTTTTACATTTTGTATGTGTAACTGACGTCTTTGTTTAATTCCAGCCTAATAATAAATAAAAATACAGTAAAATAAATAAATTAATATACTTGTGTTTTTAAGACTTATTAGACAAAACTTTACGTTTGTTACTAATCCACATTTTTAATTTTAGTCAATCGGTTAAATAACTTAGTCCTTACTTAATTCTTATTCATTTGAAGCAAACGATACTGAGTTTGAGTCTTGAAGTGAACATAAACTCTGAGATGCAAGTACATACAGCTGACGAGTCCTAAATAAGATAAAAATAAATGTTGTGGACTTTACCGATAACCATCGTATAATTCTGGTTATAATGTTTAAAACTTAAGGCAATGTCGTGGGCATTCATAAAGGATGCACATTTGTCAAAATATGATTGATCAATTGTACTCTTAAATATCAATGAAAAGATTCAAACATCTAGTAAAAATTAACCGATCAAATATACATATTTATAAACCAAACATCAATCATTTATATTACTTCTACATATCATACCAAAATTGATTTTCTACCGTAAAAAGTAATGCTTGCCCTCAAATGCCCTGGTACGGCCGAGAGTGGCCACGCGTATACAGCCTCTGCCAGGGAAGTCCTACTCATTGCCTTCTCGTGGCGGGGGTGTTGTTTACGAAAATGGGAGGATGAAAAGCGAATGTTCGGCGCTTTAATCGGATTCCAAACCAATGGTGCACATGGGCTCCAGTATCCTGCGGGAACAAATGGCGTATGAACCAATCGTTGTTCACCGGCTACCATGGGACTGCATCTCCTCTAGATGCTCCGCTACCTTGTAGATCAGATCTTCAGGTAAAAGGCTCGGGGTGTGGCCCCCCTAATAAAACCACCTGCTTCGGTCTTAACAAATTATCGTCTACGCATTAACACTATTATACATGATCCAAAAAAATAAAGATCCGATGAAAATGACATTAGATCCATATTACAAAGTTAACAAATCAAGCACATACTCGATATAAATGCATAATTGCTTGATTACCCATATTCCATATATCGAATGGGAATGTTTCTATAAAGTATTTACAAAAAAACATTAAACACAATAATATAACTATGAATTCGCATATTTTAAAGTAAACAAATTTTAATAGACAATCTATTGATAATCCTATCTGTTAATTTTATAAGAATGTTATCGATGATTTGATCATTTACATTTGATTAGTTAATTCATTTAACAGTTATATATTTGTATCAGAAAAGGTTTTGTGGAGATTGTAGTAATTTCAATAGTTGAGATCATGAGTTATTTGAAACTAGACCATCATGGAAATGATTGCTTTGTGAATTCAGCAGTTAAGTACTGTTGGTTTAGAATGTAAGTTCTAATTCGTGATGAATGAACGTTAAATAATTTTGGTGTTCGGTAAGCTTTCTAGAACTGAATAAATTGTAAAGGAATCTCTTCGTTGTCAATCCAGACCATGTAATTGTGGATAACCTTGAATAAGGAAAGAGTGTAGTGTTAACCTAAAATTTTCAAATGATTTTTACTTACTTTCCCGATTTACATATGCTTACTTAATCTTTAGTCATTTGATGAGACAATTTGCCTTATTGGTGTGTAAATTATCTCTTCATGGATTTCAATTGATTATAGTAATTGGTGAAACTTTCATCAACCTGGTCACAGGTATCGAGATGCTTTTATTGAGAATATGTATAAGAATAACTTCAGTAACAGTAACAATTAATTAAAGTAACTTAATTCAATACTTTGAAAATTTTATCATATTTTCTCATTTTTGAATTATCGATGACATGACTGTGATTTTTTTACTAAACCATCAAGGTCATGAGATGTAGAATAATCAAATTCATGTATTTTTCACAATTGATTGATCACTGTGGTGATCAATGTCATGTATGCCAGGTCCTTCTTAGTGTAGATCGAACCACCAGTCTAGGTGACTTGACACTGCGTGCACTATGTTGAGATAAGATGGTGGTTGGAGATAGTCAAAGGGAAACCCTGGACCCGGGTTTCGTGCTACTTGGCACTCGTCAGCAAGGTGTACCTGTAATCTTGAGGGAACTGGTGCTCCCTGGCGGACTCGATCTCGTGTCACCCAGCTCCACAGTCAGAGACGTTACCACCGAGCTATCCGAGACGTGACTAACCTCCTGTAGGACTGAGATGTAATCACAATTGACTGATCACTGGGTGATGATCAATGTCATGCTCGTCTAGTCCTTATTTTTAATATGAATAAATGTCCTGTGGCTAGTTAGCAAACATCAGTTTTATATTGTTTATTTCTTTTTCTTTTTGGTACACAAATAATGGAATAATTTAATACTCTATGTCAAATCTTCAATTTGTATGAAAGCTTGTTGGTTATCATTCTAAAGATAAACTAATTAAACTGAAACACTGTATTCTAGGATTTCTGTTATTATACAATTTCTGAAAAGCAAACGAATGTAATTACATCATACTTGCGAACCATTCAGTTGACACATAACTTCTCAACTCGTTATAAAATAACTGATTATCTTTAGTTTATGGCTACCTAATCAATAGGTGTATGACCTAGTGACAAATGCTCTTGAAAATCAACCTATTCAAATAATTTCTTTAAATAAAGATATGTTGCAAGACTGTACAACCAAATAGTGGACGAACTTATTTCTACTTAATATAACACATTTAAACAATAAAATATAAGACACAATATACATGCTACTAGAATTCATGTCAAATATATTTCAGTTAAATTACTCATTCAAAGAATAACACTGAAATATACGATCCCATTTCACTGTTGTGATCTGCGAGATCTCATTAATCGAAAATTATTTCCAAGAACAACTGAACGTTATAGAATCGGTTATATAGCGAAAAAAATTAAAATACAATTATATCAACATGTATGTTTTACAAATTAAATCGACCTGAACAAAACACTTAAAACTAAACTATAACCGTCAACGCACAAGTACATTACATAATGATAAGCCTGAAGTCCTTAAACAAAGTCCTAACCGATGGAATTCAAACATTTTAATAGTGAATTATCCCCATCAGTTACATTGGATAATCGTTCTAGCGTATTGCTTATTCGCTTTTAATCATTAAACATTCACCGTAGAGTCTTCAGCTCCTGGATCTGATCATTTGTAACCTCATGATTGTTCAGTATTAGGATATCTAATACTGAACTAGATCTTTAGCATTATATTAAATGAGATCAGTCTATAATGGATACAACCTACAAATTAAAATAATCTACATATAATTCTTACAAATTCTAATCTTTGTTTTAATTTCTCTTCTTATAATTTACTAATTTGAATTTATCACTTAATACATAGTCAACAAAATTTGACAGATTTAATTTACTTCAATAAAACAATATCATATGATGTTTTATTTAAATACAAAAAGAAGCTTAATTAATTATTTACTTAGATTAAGGTTTTCTTTAATTATAGATATGTGTTTAGTAGGTGATAAGTTAGTTTTTCAGTAGAAGTATATATAAGATCAATTGTAGCTATATTTGATCAAACATTTCATTCAATAACATATTCATAGAACCCAAATGGTTAAAAGCAATCTTTAATCGTCATTATCATTAACGAAAACTTTTGTTCTTTATATGATAGAAACTGGTGAAAATTGTATTTGAGTCAGGAAATTTTGTTTAGGCAGAATAATATTATTATTGTTATTGATTCATTTGTAATAGTTGCCTGAATCTTTCTAGCATATATGTATTCTGTGCAAATTGCCTCGATGTTGCAATTAAGTAACAAACACTTGGAAAAGAGTTGTATGGTGGCTAGCAGAGTAATCCAAGACGCTAGTGAAACTAGCCGGCTACCCAAAAACAGTTGGATAAAGCATATCAAAAGAGTTTTTGTGGATATTGTAGTAATTTCAATGATTGAGATCATTAGTCACTTGAATCTAGACCACCATGGAAAACCTGGACACACTAAACTGCCGTTTCGTCCTGTTGTGGGACCCTTCAGCAGTGCGCATCCACGATCCCACCTCATGAAATTCGAACCCAGGGCCTATCAGTTAGAGCATAACTGTAACCTGTGACCAGGTGGTTGAAAATCTAGTGTCTTAACATCTAAGCCAACATCTTAGAAATCTACAACGTATTTATTTGATTACCATCTATCGTCTAATTGAAGTTATTCAAAACAGTGAATGATGGTCTTGATGATTATACTTGCAACTAACTGTAAACATGATAACATGTAATTTAGAATCAAAACTATTTTACATTTTGATTGAGTTTTATTTCTATTTTGAGACCTAACTATTTGAAATAAAAAAAAGAAAACTCATCAGTATACTCAAGTTAAACAAAAAACTAGTTTAACTTTCATACGATATTCATATTAATCTTTTCATGAAACTTTTTATTTAAAAGTCACTGAATGAAATTCTTATTATCTATAGCTATTGCATATAATTGTTTCAACATTAAATGGATCTTGTTTACTAAAAACAAATCACTAAAAATATTATATTTTTAATATTATACCAAACATATTCGAGGTTATTTTTGATACTCTGAACAAGAGGGTATCATACACCTTAGATTTAATGTAAAGTTTTTTTTTAAACAAAACAATCTATGTCACAATCAGAATGTGTAGGCATTAAAACAATTACTTTAATTAAATAGATACTTATATTTGTTTATTTAAAAAATAAGTGAAATAGTGTACTCCAGTCAAAACAGATTTATGCAATGCTTACAATATTAATTAAATATGTCTTATTTTCATTTTTCCTGTTTGATTTCCATTATTCATATTTTGTCATTTCAATAATGTACAAGTCTAAATCATTTGAATAGCAAATAAATGATCTGTTAATGAATTTCTCGTTGTGAGGACTAAAAACACTACGTTTGATAGTTGTCAACCTCGTGGTTGCCTGATGTGAAGAAGTTTCCTACTAAGATAAAAAATAAACCATCAAGTCATTCTTAACTTAAGTTCTACCATACTGTAAAACCTACAAATCTATCATTGTGGTTGATTAAAGTTTAGATTTTCCAACGGTTTTCTGAAAATTCTACTTATAAACTTAGTTGAGATTATGAGTCAATTAAAGCTAGACTACCATGTTGGTCTAATATTGATAAACTTAGATTAGGTTTTTTACTGAGACTTCATGAAAAGCTAAGCTAATTTATAAATAAATATGCAAAATAACAGATATTTCCTATGACATCATTTTCAGTTGTTTTCATCTAATGTCTATGAATCAATCATAGTTCAATTTAATCTGGTTAAATCATTTTCAAAGACATTGATAACATTCACACTATAAACATTCTTGAAATTCTTGATTCTTAGTTGTAATAGTAAAATAAACATAATCAATTTATTAAAAAATAAACAAGCATATATAATTTGATGTTTTAACTAAGCTATCTGATTCTACTTACAATTTATTATAAGATGTAGAATGATAATGATGACAATGATATTTTATCATTACCAAGAGTACAAAACTATATGTGTGTGGCTATTTTGAATGAGAGAATAAAACACTAGGAAGAAAAAAAATTATGCGGGTAATGTTTAGGGTTGTTTCTTCAAAGTATCAACTATTTAACAGTAACCAAGCACAATCACTAACCAAAAATATTGATGATTATGACTACAAAACAAACATATTACTCGTAGTAATTTGTAAACTTTGACTAAAAAGAAAAAAAACTATACAATATTGATTATTTATCAGTATTTCATCTTTTAACGTATTTAAAGAGTAATAATTATCATCTTATATAACAAACTACCAATCATCAACTAGATTAATCAATACAAATTGGAAGTAAGTATCGTTGTTAGACTAACAGTACTTTATGTATTTTATAGTTGGTCATCACTTTGTATATCCAACTATATCACACTATTCTCAAGAGATATCATCAAATTTCACAAACTTGTTATTCATTATTCTTTTAAAGAGAATAAGAAAAGTGATTAGAACAGAATTATATAAATTTTATTTATTTCATCAAGTTCTTTTTAACTACTTATAAGCAACTTACAATTAATTTAAAAATTAAATTTACCACAATATTATTATATACTCTTAATAATGAAATTATTTCAATGTAAATACATGTTATCATCCAGGATAGAGTAGGTTACAAAATGCTGGTCGGTGGCCTATGCTCTATTGGGAGTAAGAGGCGTAAGTAAGTAAGTACGTGTTATCATAGTGGTGCAAAATTTCAATCAAAAAGATGAAATTGAAGCACAACAGAATAATGTTGTAAGTGAAAAGAATATTTACGAGAAGATTCTATCACATCAAGAATAGTAACAGTAGGTTATCGAGCTAAGAAAATGATTGAATATATGATACAAGAGATAAGCATAATATCATGGTAATTAGGAATACCATCAGTTGAAGTTAATCAATTAGAAAAAGAAAGTGAGAGAAACTAATCAATTGCAGTCTATCACATCAATAGGAGGATTCAAGTAAGTAATACAAATAAATTAATGTTGTAGGTTGGTTTTATGTAGTTGACGAGAACGGAATGAAATAAGTTCATATTATTTTGTTCCTTTTTATTTATATTATGAAGTTGGAACCTTCTTCGATCTTTACGTCATATATAGTGCTTAACCATGTCCTAATATATTCACTTGGTATCGCTCACTTGAATCTTCCCATTGATTTTTAGGACTGCAATTCACCAGTCTCTTACTGGCATATGTGCATACTATGCGTACTGCCTCAATGGAAACGCGCGTCCTGGATTCTACTGCTAGCCACTATCCATCTTTGCTTACATCCTAATATAGTAAAATATCTGTTAGTTAAAGGAAAACAAGTTGAAACAGATTGCCTGATTGTCATCAGACATCGTCATCAATCAGAGTACTTTTCTTAAAAAACCTAGGGATTCATTTATAAATGAAAGTAACTATAAAAATTTCATTTATACAACAAATTTCATTAAGATTTATACTAGTGACTGAATGTTCTTTTAAGTCTAATTAATTAAATTGTGTTTCTTTCAACTAATTTTGTTGAAGTGCACATGTTATATGAATATCATGGAAAACTGGTTGCAATAAATCATTTTTAGATAAATTCTTGAAAAAACGTACTTGACAATGATTATTAGTATAAACCTAATGGTCACGAGTAATTTGATTGATATAAGTACAGTTGAATGATTCTTATAATGACATTCCAATTGTTAATATGAACGTCAATGGTGATTAAAAATCTGCTCATTACTTTTAATACAAATAGAGAAGTATAAAATGAAAAAGTTGCAGGAACTATTTAACTTGATGTTAGTTTTCGTAATGAACTTCTGTAGACTGAAGAACCACTAAAAAATCAAGCAGTAGTAGACATGAATTTTCACCTCATTTATAACTCCTTAGGATCCTCGACCTATCTTGGGTTTTAGGGTACGACCTTTAGATCATATCACGAAGTAACAATTAGACAGTCACAAGTGTTGAAGATCGTACAATATCACGAATTAATATATGTTTGAAATATAGGTCGTTTGATCCGAACTCAGTTGATGGGATATATCTTTCTCAATATGAAATATGACATTTATGGATTTCATCTCATGTGGCGTAATTAATATTCACATCTGGGAAATACCAAACTAGGACAAAGTCAATCTTCACTGTTCCTTGGTGTTCTATGATTCTTTGAAGAATTCCACTCCGAGATAAGCGTTATCTCTACAGACAACCAAAATTAACTTAGACAAAAAAATTACTTCTAAACCATGAAAATATGATCAAAAAGCATCTAATTATATTCATAATTAAATATAATTGTTTTGGTCTTATGAGACAACTTGACATGATGTTTGAGTTATTGTTCTATCGTTTAAATGACGACAGATGATACATTTCTTTTTAATTTAAAACCATTTATTGTATCTTTTCACAAGTCCATAAGAAAATTCAATGTTTAGACAACAAGGAACTTTGATATAAACAATTGTAAAATCAACATACTTTATCTCGTTTACCCTCTATTACCATTCAAAATTATATTCATAGATTTTTTTCATACTTTAGTAATATTAAACAATCTAACAATCCATACCCAGATATAAACCTTGTGGATATTTTTAAATCAATTATTTCAAAAGAAAACAGGAAAGTAATAAAAATATTACCTTGTTTTTTGTAGAATCCATACGAATTAAGAACATAGTTAACAAGCTTTTCCTAGAAAAGAAATAAGATTGTAAATAAATGGAATAATATTCAATGTTTTGGAAAAAGGATATTGTTGAATTCACAAGTCGATTAGAGCTAGACCACAATGGAAAACCGGGAAACACTGAACGGTCGTTTCGTTTTAGTATGAGACTTCTCAGCATGGCGCATTCACGATCCAGCACGTGCGACTTGAACCCAGGACCTTCGGTCTTACGCTCTAACGCCTAGCATGTAGACCACTGAGCCGGTAACCGACAGTGTAAATGTCTAACATCAAATTGCTCCGTCGTCCATAGTTGACGCGCACTGCTGAGGAGCCCCATACTAAGACGAAACAGCAGTTTAGTGTTTCCAGGTTTTCTATGGTCGTCTAGCTTTAATCGACCCATGAATTCAACTTCTAAATTACTACTATCGCCACAAAACTCCCTTTCTGATGAAAGAATATTAATTTAAGACTAGCCAAAACGTATATGAAAGCAGTATATCGACGTTTAGAGTAGGTATTTTTTAGGATTAATTACTTAAAAGGAAAGGTTTTTATTTAAAAATAGAAGTCCAAACGACATTCACATTTATTGGTTTGAAAACATTCGGGTATTGATGAAATGATAGTCATAATTATTAACAATTTATATATTGAAATGAATAAAACAATATTGTTTTAACTAACTTCCTACTGTTTAATACTAATAGTTTTATTAAAGTAGTATTTAATAATATTCCGTTTTTTCATGTATTAAAAAATACAAATGTCTTAAAATAATGAAGATGATTTCAGTTAAACATTCTGAAAGCTATTCTCTCAGATAATGTCTTTTGACTCAAGGGTGAATATATTGAAGTAAGGTTTACAAGATCTAAATAGCCAAGTGGTTATCTCAAATAAAAATCTTTAAATCCTATAATATATCTAATTCCATTCCCAAAAATAAATGCTTTGACATCCAGATAAAATCACAACACTTACTTTTACACAATCATCGTTATATAAAACAAGATACAGATTTATCTACGTGCTAAACATCATTCATTTAGCAGTGAAGTCAGTAACTAAAAGAATGACCGTGGTAACTTTTCACTATGCTACAATTTAGTGCGATAGATAAAATCGCGTGTGTACACTATGACTTCACATCTGTAGTCTTTTTATCAAAATATCAAAGAACATTCCCCTAAGATATTCAAACTACTGTCCTGCAGATGGTTTGAACAAATATTTCAAGGGGTAAATGTGGTTAGTTTGATTCCTTGTATCTAGTGAATTACAAGCAACGTCATTTATTTGATTCTCAAATCTGAGCGGAAAAAATTAGTCGCTTCATCTTTCATTTCTTTGGATGTTTTATAAACACTTTACCTTCAGAGTCTCGGATAATCATTTTTTTTCTAAATACCCAACATCTTACACATAATTTATTATATTTTCTTCACCGATGAGATTAAAAAAGTATCCAGTTCTATATACTTACTGAGACCTTGAGGTTGCTTTCTCAATCATGACTGTTCATTTCTCATAGTTAAACACTGACATGAAATTGTCACCATAAAATCTGTTTAATTCATTACTTTAACCAAGTATTTTATATTCACAATTTACATCACTGACTGATCTTACTTAGGCAACCATCGACAATCAAGAACCACTGGACAGCTGTTTCGTCTTAGTAGGAAACTCCTCAACATGGTCTACTCACAACCCCACAGTTTGTCTAACGCAGGTTATTCAAGCTTCGCAACGAGAGCTCCACCTTAGAACAAATGAGTTGAGATCCAATGGTGTACTTGTCTAACTTCCAGTTAGTACCTGTGCCTTTCTAGTGAGTCCCGTATTCGGTAGTCGGACCAATGTCAAACCGTGACGTAATTTATAAAACTATTTTATTCCTAAGCTTAAGACAAATGTATTTTCCTAGGTGAGTGATGACATGGATAATTTTATACAACCACCATCTGGTTGCACCTTTTTTATAAACTGTAATGACTAGTTCCCGATGACTTGACAAATTAACTGGTTTGATATTACTTTTTCATTGAATCAAAAAAATATTTTATGAACAAACGTCCTATTAAAACTTAATTAGAAAACATAATGTTTTCTAATCACATATACCAAAATAAATAGACAACTTTGTCATGCGTAAAGCATGTTTATAAAATAGGGGAAAATGACCGGAAATTGACAATTTATGTGCGGTCCTGCATTATCAGTATATAAAATAACCGAAATCTTGTCCACTAATCGAAAATAAAGTAGTAATTAGTGTCATGCTGTTTAGTTCTTAATGTTGATAGAAATTTATCAATCCCGTTTGTTACGTAGCCCTGAACCCAGGTTTCCTGTTGGTTCACATTCATCAGTGATGCGTACTTGAAATACTATAAGAAGTTAGTGTTAAGTATTTGATTTGAAGCCGAATAACCTAATACTGCAATTTGAAACATTATCCCTGGTCAACAATCTTCATGACTGGGATATTTAAACTTACTGATTTTTAGGTACTATGCAATGTTGTACTGCTTAGTTTTTCTTAATCTTGATCAAATGTTATCTAACAAATTTATTGACCCAAAAAAAGTTAAATGAGTTAAGTTCCTATTAACTACCAGATGGTTAGACCAGGAAAGTGATTTCATAAATTTTAAAATGAGGAAGTTCATTTCTTAATATTACTATGAGTTTAACTAAGTAGAATGAATGAACTAACCGACAAACGGACACAAAGCAAATTATAGTAATTCAATTACTAGTAATTCGAATGTAACGGATGTATTTATTGTCAACTGCAATGAAATATATTCCTGGAGTATTTTTCGAATATAAATCGCAGATGATGCTGAAAACAGGTTATATGAAGTTTAATATCCAAAGTTAAACAAATCCAAATCTATATCTTGTCTAGTTTAACTGACGTAGCTTACTTACTTACGCCTGTTACTCCTCGTGGAGGAGCATAGGCCACCCACCATCACTCTCCATCAAACCCTGTCCTGGGCAATTCTTTCCAGTTGTTATTCATCCTTTTCATATCTGTTCCTATTTTCCAACGCCTGTAGCTCTTCTAGAGTTACCGCCGGTCTCAAGTCCGGGTAAAGGAGGAGGGTTGAGCATGATGTTAGCTACTCCGTCCCGTAGAAAACTAACTCGCTAAAAAAACACTAACGCTGAAAACCCTAATTAACGTAAAGTTATGTCTAAATAATCACAATAAATACAAAAACATTTTTAAGAGTATTTCACAATGGTTACATCAATAAAAGACTATAAACCAGTTGTTAACTTGTGATCATTCACTTAAGTTTGGATAATCATATACAGTTAAAATTCCCATCAAATAAGGTATTCAATTAGACTGTAAAGTATGGATGGGCAAATATTAATCTTAATTAATCACATTCATCATCTGAATGTATAAGACAGAATTAACTATTAATCAGTGAGTGATACATAAATGTTTAAAATAAAATTAAACAAAACAACAATTATCAAATAAATTTTTTTATTTGTTACCGGTTGTAGCGAATACGTTGTCTTGCCTAATAATAGTTCCTCTAAACGGGCAACACGTGTTGGTAGTAATGGTTTTGGATTTGGGTTTTCGAACATATCAACTATTTCTTTGTTATGAGTTGCTCATAAAACTATTATAAACATTCATCTACTGCAATTTCCATAAATGAAGTCTGTACACATGCATAGTATTAATTCAGTTTAATTTTTTTTTAGAAATCAGCTGTTTACTGACCTTAATTTTGAGTCACCATGGTGAAGATAAATAACTGTGTATTTATTGGTTGATTTTTTTTATTGTTTTATGCACATATTTGTATGTCGATCAATATACATAAATAATCGATAAAAATTAGTAAACAAAATTCTAGGTTGAAACGTAAATTGTCCACCAGATCAGATGTGGTATGATAAAATTAAATCTAAGGAGTAGGACTGATAACATCATTTATTGACTGTAAAACTGGACAATGTGACTACAATCATATACAAAGTGTCAGTACGCCGAAAATTCTGAATAAGCCTTGGTAGAGAGCAGTAATGTAGAGCTAAGGTTCTTTACTGATAGCCTACAACTAACTAAAATCTAAAGTTGAAGGTGCTATGGTAATTAACGATGTCCAGGTTTTATGCTTGAGGGTCTAGATATTTAACTATACATTTATATTTGTAATCGAAACCGTTCAATAGTTACACATTCTTAATCATTTAAAGCATAAACTAAAATGATTATACTTTTCATTTCATTCATTAGAACTGGTTACATCTAGTAAAGACCAATTAATTATTAAACTATATTGTCTGTAGAGAGGCTTAGAAAATTTGTTTTGGGAAAACGTTAATATGATAACGTCTAACAACCCGAATTGCTAAAAATTTCAAATTCAAAAGATTTTAATCTTATTTTAAATAAAGGATTAATCAACACAAATATTATAGTGCATAAACCCAAATGAATACACAATATACACTAGCATAACAGCATTACAGTGTAGCAGTTGTACGGTGTAAATTCAGAGGGATTTTCTTGTGATTCGTTTTGCATTATAGTGAAAGAATTAAAATTGTTGTAGACTATATGTTATGTCTATTAACAGCATATTGTCATTGGTCATAAAAGTTAGTGAAGCTCGAATAAATAAATATTTAACACAATTCATGTGTTTTACTCTAAACTATATATTGAACATGTCTAGTAACCTTCTCAATTATTGTAGTGATTAAGGAGAACGGGTCTATGTTTCTTCACTGAAATTGATGTTCATCGAATTTTATGGGTATTGAATAGAAATTTATTAATAAAGGAATTTATACGATCAGGTGTTTTTTTTCATCAACTGGTATTGCGTACTTCTTACTTACGAGAATCAGTGAAAAATCCTAGGTAATTACGGTTTAAAAGTGACCTAGTAGATATCTCAGTATCCAGGATCGAAGAAAAATGCGAAACCCTACGCTAACTTGTCATAAGTTGAAGGTTGTATCCACTTTTGTTCTAGGATTTTTTATGACTTAAATGGTCATGCTTATGTAAACACTGTCAGGATAGTCCTACTCACTACCTTCTCTTTTCTGAGGTGTTGTTTACGAAATTGAAAGGACGAAAAGCAAATGTTCAGCGCTTTAACCGGGTTGGTTAGATATGGAGAATCCACCTGAGGGAGTCGGAAAACCCTGATTCCGAATCAATGTTGCATATGAGCTCCAGTATCCTGAGGAAAAAATGGTGTATGAAATTATTGTTTCTCACATGCTACTATGAGACTGCATCTCCTAACGTTGCCCCACTACCTTGTGGATTAGACCTTTAGATGAAAGGCTCAGGGAGTGGCCCTCTATAAGAACCATTTGCTTCGATTTGGTCACCCAGGCAGTATCATTATACTGTACGATCAATTTGATATTTATCAAATATTCGTAGAATTTTCTACTGGGATGATTTTATTCACATTAATATTGTTCATTTAAACAAATTGAAGCAAGTATTAATTTTTTAACCAAAATTAAAAAAGACTTATAAACAAATCCAAAGTAATGTATATCACTCAAAAGAATATCCATTTTCATCAATTCAATAATACTTCAATTACAATTAATTAAATTAACTGAAACATTAAATTACTTATAAAGAATTTTATATTCTAATAAGAGGTTTATTGTGAAGATTGTAGTAATTTAATTAGTTGGATGCGCACTGTTGAGGAGTCACCTACTAGGACGAAATAGCTGTCCAGTGCTTTTAGGTTTTCCATATTTGTTAAGGTTTAATTGACTGATGAACTGAACTATTAAATTTTATATTCTAACATTTTTAAAGTGAATTTCTTTTATAAATTTCACTTGACCGTTTTGTTTTCATATTTTGTTTAACTTTGTTTATTCAGTTGTTGAACTCTTATTAAAACATTGATAAATAATTTGTTTTCTTTACTGATAGGTCCTGGGTTCGAATCCTGCCAGTGGGATCGTGAATGCGCACTGCTGAGGAGTCCCACAATAGGACAAAGTGGCCGTCCATTGCTTCTAAGTTTTCTATGGTGTTCTAGCTTCAATTGACTCATGGTCTCAACTATCGAGATTACTTTCTTGTAAATAATTTAAAATTGAACATGTCAATAACTTTCAGTGAATATGTACAACTTCTATTAAGTGTTTCAAATATACTTAAATCATTCTGCTACAGATTTTTATTCCATGTAATGAGAATCTTCATCATTTTGTTTCATTACATAAATAATCGTTAAATATTTAAAGTATGCAGGCGGCGTGCTTGAATATCTGGGCTATCTGTTCCTACCATCTGGATATTTCAACAAGTTATCTGCCTATTATTCTCATAACCTATTTTGGTGTATTTTCCAAAAGTTTACTATAATTCGCTGTATAAGTTACAAAAAAACCCATTCAAAGACATCATGGTTATTGGCAATATGCATCTAAAAGAATATACATTATTCAGATGTCGATTCCTGAACCGCTAACTTCTAACTGGCGAACACTCAAGAAATAAGAAAGGGAAACTTGTTCAAATGCTTTGTTCTGGAAATTATATATTGTACCAAAAATGTAATACTGAATAAAGCCAATAATAATAATAATAATAACCAATCAATTATTTCATTCTAGTTTGAAAAACGTGGTATGGCAACTCGAACTGATGTACTTACGTACGAAGTTCTACGTTGTTACTGACTGACTGCAGTTTAAAAAATTATATTAATCTTTAATACTAATTTATGTAAACAAAAAACGTTCATTTTGAGTTGCTATACTGTAATCTAAGAATACGCATTTCTACAGTATCGTCGTGTTTATAACATGAACTCGTTTGTTCTTTGATTTTATACATAATGGTTTTGATATGTTGACGACGTACGGAACTTTTTTGTAATCGACTATGATATTTAATCAAATTTTAAGAAAGTTTAATCACATTAACTATATCTGTTGTTTATAGAAAGTTAATTACATAATATTATAAATTTGTATCTAGACAGTAAGTTACTAGGTAATTAATGTCAAGTACTACTCACTTTAACATATAAAAATCTGACTATTGATCAGTATAAATAAAAGTCGTAAAATAATTTCTGTATTTGGATATTTATGCCGATTTATTTTGGATACTAAAAAGATTCTCACCTATCATCTTAGTGTTCTTACTGGTGTCTTTTGACTTATGGTTTCCAGTAGCCAATACCAGTTATCTGGCGTTACAGCAAGTATCGGTGTATTTTGAGGGAGAGGGTTAAATCAATGTTCATTTGTATTAAATTTTCTGTTCCTCTGTTTTTATGAAAATTACACTGAATTTCATTTTCAAGTAATTTGTGTTTTCTTACAGTTTCATTGTTAAATGCTCCAATAACCTTAGTTTTGATAACTTATCTACAATTTTAGTTAGATTTTATGCACCATTATCAGCTTTTAAACATCTAAAGTTAATGACATACACTTTACTTAAATCGTTATAATCAAAGATACGATAGCTTTTCAACAACTGATCTGATGGAATAGTCTTGTATATTTGGAAAGTTAATTGAAATGTTTACTTCAACTTCATAACGATTGTTTACTTTGTTAACTTTTCAGAATCTTTTACTTTCTATAAAAATGATTTCCGAATCATTATTTCCTATCTAAGATTGTCCAATGTTTGAATAAATCATTGCGTCAAACTAACAGTTAATGTTATGATGTCAATTGTAGATATAAAACACTTAAATTGAAAAACTTAAAATTAATAGAAGTAATGATTGATTTTAAAATTATGGCAGAGAAAAATCATCTATAATAAATGTTTTATTATATTAGTGAACAACTATGAATGACATGTTGATTGGATTCAAAGAAACACTGATCTGATAGGAAGAAAAGTAGGTATGAAATGATTATTAACACTGACTATATTAATATGAACAAAACATAAAATATATATTTTATTGAGTATTAAGAAATAAAACATTTCACGGTGAGACTATAATTTATTGATAATCTTTGAGTAACGTTGAAGTGACCTTCAAAATATCCATCTACTCACTGGAGCTAAATGAGGGTTATAAAACAGTGAGAAGAATAAGGATAATGTATTACAGTTGGTGGTTAAGGGGTTAGAAATTAGATTTATGGTTTTCATCACGAATTTACATTAGCTAAAATGCCAAAACACTATTTAAACAAATGAGTGAATGAATTTCGCTCCAAAATTCAAGACTCATTATCTTATATCTGATTGGTTCGTCTATAAATTATAGTCTGGCCCGATTGATCATTATCAATAATTCTTCTGTACTTTTGAAATCATGCTAAATAATAGATATGTCGGTTGATTTTTCATGTTTGAGTAACTGTTAGCTTTGAAGCTGACACAAATTCACTTGCGAATTAGAACAAAGACTCAGTGACCAAGACCAGTAAGCTAGCTATTGATGCGTCTCAGCCCCTCTAACTAGAGGGAGAAGTTCAAGCTTGGAATGGGAAAGTATATTTAGCAAACAACCAGAAACGAGCAATAAAAACAAACACAATTCAAAACATATATACAGTGCAAAATCGTCCTTAGGGAGAGTTATCAAACAGTATACTAAAAGACACAACGGACCAATAGCATCTAAGGTATTTCCCAGTGGGAAATACGACATGAAAGTGACAAGAGCGCCTT